GAAATGGAACAACAAGAACCACATCTCAATCTTGCCTACATGAGTCAAGAAGCTTTTCAAGGAGGCACGCCACCATTTACCATGCCACAACCTTTATGGTGCACCATTTGTGGAGGAGCACATGATGTCGAAAATTGCTATACATTGGCTCCTAACTACCAACATTTGTGCCAATTTCAAGAGCCCTCTTACCAAGAGCCTCAACAAGGATTTCAATCCCTTGATCAAGAGCCCGAGATGATGTCCAAATTGATGAGTTTGATAATGCAAACGTCTTCACGAGTGGATGAGTTACAAACTCAATCGGAAAACATGATGGCTCAAGTACAAAGTTGGGCAACTCAAGAGCCGATTCAAGATTCATTGTCCAACGAAGAGGTTCAACAAGAGTTTCCCTTATCTAATGAAGGGGATGAGGTTGATGGAGATGAGAATGTAAGGGAAAATCTTGAAAATGAAGTGCTTGAGGAGTGTCTTGAATCCAACCATTTGAATGAGAAAGAAGACAAGATTGAGACTCAAATTGAGATTCAAGATGATGGTGGCAAGGAATCTTTGCAAAGCACCCCATTTGAAGAAGAAGTTAATGAGAGTGAAGTTGATAACATGCACGGTGAATTTGATGAATGCTCTCCAATGAATGATACTCTCATTAGTGAAGACTTTAGAAGAGTGTGGGAACCGGGAGGAGTTGATGTTCTTGAAAGTGGAGGCCCGCATTGGCCTATATTTGAATCAAAGGATTCCCACTTCTTATTGGTGCATGAGAAAGATCCAAGACTCTCCTTATTTGCAAATGAAAAGGAAAGTCAAGAAGAGAAAAGAAGTGAAGACCAAGAAAATGATCAAGCTCTTGAGTATTATCAAGACCCAATCTTTAGGAAGAAGACCTCATTTGATTTATGGATCAAAAATGGATTTGAGGAAGGGATATTCTTGGAGTTTGATTTGGATGAGCTTAGTGTCTTAAACTTTCAAGTGGTGAAGATGAGCTTAATGGAATTTATTGATGGCCACCACTTGAAGAAATACCTAGAAGAAAAGGTTGATAGAAAGATGGGAATTTTTCTCCTTCAATCCATTGATGGTTGAACACTTGAAAGGTTGAGTCGAGCTAGTGACGTTAAACTTAGCGCTTCATGGGAGGCACCCCATGTTATCTTTCACTTTATTGCATTTTATCTTATTTTTTCTTTATATTTTGAATTTTGATTTATTATGCTTTCACTTGTGCTTTCATGTGTATATTCCCTTGACTCTAGGAGTGACACTAAGGAGTATGCTCAATTCCAAGAAGGCTTCATGATGATTCTTTGGCACAAGAAGATTCATTAGGGGAGTCTCATCTACCTTCTCTACTTTCTTTAAATGTGTTTAGTGCTTTACTTAATGTAGATAGTAGAGATTGTGCTCCTTGTGCTTATTGTGCCACCATTTTCTCCCCTCGTGCTTTATTTTCTTTCACATCGAGGACGATGTAGCCTTTAAGTGTGGGGGAGGGGATAGTTTGGGTGTTTTCTAAAAAAAAATTGAACTAAAAAAAATTGAACTTTTTGAAACCTTGCTTGGATGACTCATTGTGCTTTGCGTTGAATAAATTGCCTTTATATACTTGAATTTGTGATTACTCCCCTTTGTTGATTTGTGGTTTGCTTGGTGGAACTTGTTACAATGCAACTTGTGATTGATGAGTCAATGTGTAACACATGATTGATCTATTCCCTTGCCAATGACTTTGTTAACCACCTAATAATTGAATAAATTATTGATCTTGTGTGTTGTGCATTGCTAGTGAAGGCTTATGTGAGATTCCGGTAATGGTTGTTTTGCTAGAACTTGCCCTCATTACTCTCTAAGTGAAATCTAAGATTTGCATGTTTTGAAATGATTTAGGCCATTTTTATTTAGCCCAAGCCTTTAAGCCTACCCTTGTACACATATGTTTACCCCTAGTTGTCCCCGTTGAGCCTTTTCTATTTGTTCAATAAGTGCTAAGCACCTAATCCCCTTTGCGTTTGTTCTTCTTGTGTTAACCCTTGTCATTTAACCCTTAAACCTTAGCCAAAATATTTCCCTCCACCCTTGAGAGAATAGTGCACTTGTTCTTTTTGTTGGAAGTGATTCTTTTTCTTTTTGGAGCTTGTTTTGTTAGCAACACTCTCTATAATGTTATCTAAGTGTGATGATCTAGATTTATTGAAAAAGTTTCTTTGTTGATTTGAAAAAAAAAAAAAAAAAGAGAAAAAAAATGATGAGAAAATTGAAAAAAAAAAGTCACGAAAATGTTGAAAAGAGATGAAGAAATGATAAAGAAGAAGTTCAATAAAAGTTTGATAGTTTGCTTTGAAAATTGTTCTCAACCTCCACTACTTTAGAGTGCTGTTTTGTGTTTAGTTGTTAGTTGCTCCTTAGTTCTTTGATGTCATATCTCTTCCAATCTCAATTGTGAATAAGTGCAAAGTTCTCTCTTTTGTTTGATTTCCTTACCCCTTCTTTGTCAATCATTCACCCTTAGCCTCATTACAAGCCTAATAAAAGTCCTACTTGATCTTAGCATGCAATCTTAGAGTTGAACTAGTGGGAGTATGAAGGGCAAGCCTATGGAATCTCATTCAAAAAGCCAAGTTTTGCATAATCTCAACTTAGTATTTGTGCACACTTGATCCTCACGTTCTATAATAATCTTGGTGCTTGGTTATTGGCTTGAGAATGGAACTTGTGTGGAATGCTAAGATGATTCTTGAAACAAGTTGTGTTGTGTCGAGTTGGATTGTGGTTTGTTAAGTTGTGCACAGTGGGAGTATGATCAACTTCAGTACTATATTGGTGGTTTAGTCCTTGTTTTTGCTTGAGGACAAGCAAAGGTTTAAGTGTGGGGGAGTTGATAAGAGTCTAAAAGTTTATAATTTCACATTGCATTTAAGCTTATTTTCCTTGTTATTTGTTATAATTTTGTCCGAAGTATCCTCATTTGATTCATTTGTGTGCTTATGAGTAATTCTTGATGATTTAGATGAATTGAGTGATTTTTGGGGCATTTCGGATGCATGTAGAGTCAATGGGAGTCGATGAGAAGCTATGAAGATGGAGAAACGCCTTTTAGAGAGCCAAATTATGGTGTGTTTATTGGTCTTGGTCATTTGGACAAACAAAAGCAAAAGTGGAGCAAAAGAGCAAGAAGTTGAAATTTCCGCACAAATCGTCCACTGCTCGGTTTTTTGATCATATCTCTGCGTAGGAATGTCCAAACCAAGTGAATTTTATATCATTAGAAAGCTAACTTGAAGGGTTACAACTTTGATTCAAGCACCAAAGGCTAATTCAAAGGTTTTGAGGGTAAAAACTGGCCTAGAAGACGACCTCAGTGCACAGGCAGTGCACAGTACTGCCTGTGGCCACGGGTCTGGCCACGGCCGTGGCCACACCCGTGGCCACTGGGCAGTGTGCCCTGCATTTCTGGCCACGGGTGAAGCCACGCCCGTGGCCAGCCCTCTGCAACTTTTTGCAGCCCGTTTTTTACCCTTTTAAGGGGATTTTTCCACCCCAAAACATATCTTTCATTTCCCTTTCATTTCTCTAGTTAGGGTTAGTTTAGAATAGCTTAGATTAGTGTAGATTTGTGTTTCCTTTCCATTTCCAAGCTCAAGAACATTGCAAATCTTGGATTTCAAGGCTTCAATAGAGAAGTTTTCTTATTCATCTCTTCTCTTTACTTTTCATCTATGCTTTCAATTTCTCTTCTAATATTGTGTATCTATTGTTATATTATGAGTAGCCAAGTGTTTTGGGACTAGGATTTGGTTTGATTTCTTGCTATTGATGCCTATTTGAGTTGTATTGCATAAAGGGGATTATTTGGGTGATCTAGGGTTGTTGTGTAAAATGGGTTTGTTGAGAAATTTGTGTATGATTGTTGGATCCCAATTATATGCTTGATTTGGAGTGTGTTTGTTGCTACGAGAGTAGAGCTTGTACACTAGCCACACATTCACACACTTAATGCCCAATACGAGAGTATTTCGGGTATTAAGGAGAATTTATGCCTTGTGTTCTTGCTTGGGCAACTTTGGGTTGAATTGCCACGAGAGTGGAGTTTAAGGTTAGGTTGCAAGTCCAAATAGCTACGTGAGTGATATTTGGACACTTTTGTGCATCTCACTTACCCTATGCCTTGTTTAATTCCCTAATCTTTAGTACAATATTTGGCATCTAAGCTTGAATCAACCAAGTCCCGGTCCTTTGTTTTACTTGTCTTATTTGTTATTAGCTTAATCATATCAAACCAACTCCTTATCGATAGGTCTAGCTTCTAAAAGGGTAGTTTTAGCTTGTGCTTAACTCCACTTTACATCAATTCCTAACATTACAAGAGCCATCTCCAGTGGAACGATATCTAAACTCTATATTGTGATTTGATACTTGATGGATGTGTGAAAAATGTCATCATCAGCAAGGCTGGTTTTAATTAATTGGGTTGGAGGAATGAAAAGCAAAAAAAAAAAAAAAAAAGTGAAACACCCTTAGATCCAATGATAAGATGAAGATCTAGAGTGCAAGGCATACAACAATTTCATAGAGGGAAAGCAACAAGATATTCCATGTTACACATACAATATCATGATCAAACTTAGTTAAATCTGGAAAGATCAAAACTTAGAGTTTTGGTAGCATAAGATCATCCGGGAAAGCAGTAATCCCCCATGGATAAACGATGTAAAGTGTTTCCAAGGTAGGATGCCTCTTGAGCCAAGCTGGCCAATTCTGATAATCTGGATAACATTTTAGCTCAAGTTTCCTTAGCTGTGGGGGAAGTTCAAAACCATATCTATCTACTACATCATCACATTCTAGTGAACCTTAGTAAATTGCAAACATCATTAAAATTGAAGTTAACAATTATATATATGGTCAACTTCACTAAGGTGTGAGGAGTTATTTGGGAGTTGAGGGAGTTCAAATCTGCATCTTGCATGTGTAAGAGCAACACCCTTTAACTTTCGGAGAAACTTAAGTTTCGCAACTACCACCCATACATTCTCTTCAATGCACATATCACTACATGCACTCGTGTTCAATAGCCTTTTCTCAATCTAGAAGCCACTCGTGCTGGGGGCTGAATTGGGAAACTAACATTCTGATTTTCTCCATCCTCTTAGCAATGGCGGACAACCATTTTGAAACTTCGATTTCATCCTTTTGCACTAAACCAAGCTTGGAATAAGAAGAAGAAGAAGATTCATGCCGTTGAATCCACTCGTGGGGATCAATAATATCCTCTCCAACCTCCTCCCCACTATCTTTTAACTTGAAAGAAATCACATCGTCAAGTTCTTCTATTATGCATTTGAGCTTGCCCTCAACATGATCCTTCAAGTATTCAGGGTTTGGATAGGCTTCCAGCTGCAGCACTCCATTCATTATAGTTATCTCGCTTTTAATGTGTTCACATTTGAATTTAACCAAACACTTTTCAATCTTCTCGGTTTTGTATTCATACTCCACTTTTCTTATCCTCCTGAAACTCAATTTTTTTATGAATTAAATTCTCTCAAAACTCAACTCACTTCAATTTAATTATTAATTAATGTGTAAATTCATAATTAATTAACTCATGCATGCTCGTCTTCAAGTGCTTTATAATTTGATAGCATTAAAATTATCTTTTAAAATTGACAAAGTTGTTGTACATATATATATATTAGTGATAGATTAGAGTGTACTCAAAACCAACTCATGTTTATGTTGATCTAAAGTTATTTTAGAGTAGATGAAAAAGATAAATGGGAAATTAAACAACTTTATTTTGATTCATGGTTTAATCCTGCGAAAAATTAAAGCATAGATATAGAGTGCTTTTAATTTGTACTTTATCTAAATTTGAAACATAGATAGATCAGAATACTAATAAATACAAATCTAGCTATATAATATGGTAATAAATTTTTTTAATCAGATTGTATTAAATTAGATTTTATTTTAAAACCAAAAAGCAACTAGATAACTGGTCTAATAATCATTGATTATGCACCAATTAAAAAATGTGAATGAATTTTAATTTGTTCCTCAATTGCAAACAGTTGACAAATGAGGTATATATATATATATATATATATATATATATATATATATATATATATAGAAAAACGCTCATATGTGGTCATGTCATTAGGTGTGGTCGTGTGGTTGTATCTGTGTCGTTGAATCAGTTTAATCTAAAGGCAGTGGTAATTTTGAGAATTTTTGCGCGTTTTAGTAAGTGGGGGTGTTATGGTAATTACAGTGACCATTTATAGCGGGCGGGTTCCAGAATACACCAATAGTGTTGACAACATACACCAATAGTGCAATAAAACACACCACAGTGAAACACACCAATGGTGTATTCCCGTGTTATGCTAATTACAGTGGCCATTTATAGCGATCGGGTTCCAGAATACACCAACAGTGTTGACAACATGCACCAATAGTGTAATAAAACACACAACAATGTGATTTTCCCTATTCCGGTGTTTTATGACAAGTTTACCCTTACAGTTCGCTGGGTAGTAGAATGTGCGCGAAAATACTGGAAAAAATCTTGATTAATATGATTCATTAGATCTATCTAATCTAATGGTCTATAATTGACCATATGACCACACCTAACAACATGGCCACATGTGATCACTCCTCTATATATATATATATATATATAAATGAAAATACATTTTCTGATAAATAGAGTAAAAGACATTTTTAGTCCTAAATTTATAGTGGCTTGGACAATTTTAGTCCTTTATAAAAAAATTTGTCATTTTATGGACAGAGTTATTGTGGCGAGGACATTTTTGGTCCTCCGTCTATATTTCTGTTAGATAACTGTCTGAGAGAGGTGTAATTACGTCAATTTAGGCTATCTCCTTCTATCTATATATCTATGTGTGTTTTGTTTTCTTCTCGGTCATAATTCGAGGGAGTCGGAGAGTCCAAGTTGCAGTTGTACGAAGAAATTGCCGGAGAATCGAAGCCGCCAAACAGGTTACTAATCAAATACAAACACACATTGATATAATAGATAGAAGGAGATAGCCTAAATTGACGTAATTGTCCCTCTCTCATACGGTTATCTAACAGAAATATAGACGGAGGACCAAAAATGTCCTCGCCACAATAACTCTGTCCATAAAATGGCAAATTTTTTTATAAAGGACTAAAATTGTCAAAGCCACTATAAGTCTAGGACCAAAAATGTCTTTTACTCTGATAAATATAATCAATCATCACCTTGGGAAAACTCTTTTTTTTTTTTTTTTTAAACTTTTAAAGGAGAATGCAGCAAAACTTGCAAATTAAATGCAAAACGTATCTGAAAAATAATATTTAAATATATATAATGGAAATGCATGTAATAATGGCATAAAGCATCTTAAAATAAATATTACAAAAAAAACTATATTAACAGTATATTATACAAATATATTTCAAAATATATACATGTAACGAAATAAATAAAATGTGAGGACATAAATCAACAAAATAAGTCCGGTGTGATAAATCCAATCAGGCTTCATTAATAATTAAAACATTTTACAATGTCAAAAAGATACTATATGCATATTTCTATAAATATAAATGAGCATTGAAATTTATATATATATATATATATATATATATATATATATATATATATATATCATTATGTAGTAAAATTGTAATCTTTTTTATTTTTTTTTTAGATCAATCAATTCATGGCACATCTTTACGGAGTAAAAAAAAAAATCAAGTAAAAAGTGAGATCACAGATAATATTACTCCTTTTATTCACAGTAATAAGTAGGATGACTTCTCTTCATTGTAAAATTTACCATAATCAGAAATTGAAATAGATAGTTGGAAAGGGAAGGAAATACCATTCAATATCATATAGTTGCTTCATGATTCTCACGGGACATTCATCTAGATTTTCAGTTACTCTATCTCCTTCTCTGTTTTCGCTCGCTTCTTGCATACAACTATTTGCCATGTTGTCACCTTCAATTCGTCTCTATTATGATAGCTCAAGTATTTGAGAGTTTAAGTAGATGTTTTTTTTTTTTTTTTTTTTTTTTTTTTGGTGCAAAGTGTCAGCGGATGTTTTGAAATAAGTGTAGTGTATATATATATATATATATATATATATATATATATATATATATATATATATATATATATATATAAAATAAAGTAATGTAATTCTTTTTTTTTTTTAAAATTAATTTGTTGCTCAATATATAAGTAAACTAAATTCTTATTCTTTACTTGCCATGTTTCCATGGGACTATTTACTATTAACACTACTTAATCAAATTATATTATATCAAGTAGTAAAGACTTTGCGACAACATAAGTTTACATGAAACATCAAGGATTTTTTAAAAAGTAAATACTATAAATGTATACCAATAATGATAAATATTTGATTGAATATGTAACCAGAAATTGACTACCTATCCACCATAACAAGTCATGTTAAGTCAATTTTTTATGGAAGTCAAGACTCGAGAATTAATTTACCATTTGTCCTTTGGAAAATTCAATACCATATGACCCTAGCTATTGAAACAATAGTGAGAAGCAAAAATTAAAGATCCAGGTTATGAGTCAGTTTGGATGTTGATTTGCAGCATTTCGATCACCTGTATCCCATGTAAAATTGCTAGATCCTTGTCTTTGTTAAGTTTTGGTTTAACTTGAAATTTCGTTTGAGGAGACATTTCGTTTTCACACTCTGATGAAGTTTAAATTGAAATTTCAAGAATAGGTTTCAGATGAATGAGGTGTGAAAAATAAAAATAGGAACAACTATCATATCTAGTCATTTATATATTTTAAAAATTTTCTTCCAATAGACATCTGCAACTGTGAATCTTCAGCAGTGAGGTACGTAACTCTTACGGCAGGCAGCGTAATGCATTAATGCGCATGGTTTAAAGTCTTCATCACGTTAAGTATAAATTGAATTTATATATATATATATATATATATATATATATATATATATATATATATATATTAATATATTGTAATTACTTAATTGCTGCAAGCTCCTTTTTAGAATTAGAAGGGAAAATAAATGCGCGCTACTGCTGCTCTTGCAAATATATATTTGTAGTAAAGGCAAGGCTGGTATTAATTAATTGGGTACAATGTATAACGAACATTATATTATTTGATGTTAACTAGAAATAAGTGTAAACTAGGTTTTGACGATGCAATGTGAAAGAAAATTTAGAATTAAAAGCCCCTAAAGATTCTTTTGTAAAAAGTTGTTAGACTATACAGCGTAAGTCTACACAGTACAACATAAAAACAAATATATAGCACCAAATTGAAGTAGAGAAGGATAATCAATGCAATAAGAATTTGAGGATGAAGTATCGTTTCTTATCGTCCTAATTCCTTCGCTCGCAATTGATTTCATTTTTAATTTTGTTTTTGTGCATTTGATCAGTTGAGCTGAAGAAGCAGATCTCTTGCACGATTCAATTGTCGAATAAAACTGAAAATCATGTCACTTTCAAGGTGAAGTATATACATATGATTTTCATGTTGATGTGTTCGTCGATGAATGTGGAATGTATGCATTCTGTATGATGGTTTAGATTGATGTTTACACATCACAGCGATTTTATTTATTTTTTTAAAATTTCGATTTGATTGAGTTTTTCTTTCTGTAAATGTATAGGTTAAGACGACTAATTCAAAAAAGTACTGTGTTCGCCCTAATATGGGGGTTGTTTTTCCTCGATCCACTTGTGATATCATAGGTATTTTCTTAAGTTTTTTCGTGTACATTGAAATTTTGATGAATGACGACTATTTATTACTGTTCTTTGTTGTTAAATTGCAAGTGTATTAGTGAAGATTTTCCTTTTTCCCTTTAAAAAAATTTGTAGTGTTAAGACTGTTAGTATTGAAAAGGAGTTTTGGGTAATTATTGATTTTCAAGTTTCCATCTTGTGTAGTAACAACGCAGGCACAAAAGGAGATGCCTGCTGACATGCAATGTAGGGACAAGTTTTTACTTTCAGAGTGTAGTTGCAGGTTCTGGTACAACTATAAAAAACATTACTTCAGAAATGGTAATCAGGCAAATAATTTAAATTCTTTACATGATTTATCACAATCACCGTCGCCAGTTGCAGAAGGTTCGGATGAAGGTTTATCACAAAGTCCAACCTTGTTAGAGAATGGCAATCCAAATAATGGTTTTGAGGCTGTTACTCCTGAAATCCAATCCTTCTTATTATTTATCCTTTTCCTCTTACATGCATGACTTGTGTTCAGTTCTTGCTCTAATTTTAGCAGTATATTGTGTTTGATAGCATGCTTTTTTGTTGCTTTCAGGCTACAAGATCATTTAGTGATTCCCATGACAAATCTTCAGAGGTGAATTGAAGTTGCTACTAAGCTCTATCCTCTGAGTAGTTTAATGTAGCTACTGCAAATAGGCTAAGCATGTGGTTGAGTGTATATGGATGTGTATTTTGACAACTCTTTACTGGCCAAATGGTTTAGTTGAACTTTTCATAAATTTAAATTTTCAGACAAAATTACGTGATTCAAAATTGACTGAGGAAAAATTTGCTGCAGTTCAACGAAACAACAGACTTCGCCAAGAACTGGTTAGGCATTTATGTTCTGTATTATCTTGTTGTTTCAAATATTTGTTAATTTGCTTCACTCTTAGGCAGTTTTAACATTTAACAATAAGTAAAGGACAGAAACACTGAAGTGATTCTACTCTCAACTATTTGGTGTAGTTTTTGCTTGCAATGGGTTTAACTATGTGTACATGCAGGAACTGTTGAAGCGCGACATTCACAAAAGTCGCAGTGGTGGCGTTTCATTCATGTTTGTCATCATTGTCAGCAAGGTTGGTGTAATTTTGGGTTACATTGTGAAGAAATGAGTACTTAATAATGCAGGTTTGGCACATCTTTCACTCCCTCAATGTGTTGATCCTACATTGTTGCTTGCCCCTTACATAAATTTGGGGTACGTGGAATGAAAAAGAATTATATTCTTGAAACTGTTAGCTCAAACTGCACTGGGTTGAGTTAGAGAAATTTACTTTAGCTAGGGTTCATAATTCTTGTCAGTTAACTGTGTTTTTATGAAATTCTTTTAATCATACATTATTTTGTAAAATTGCCAAAATTTTCATTCCAACTGTATGTTTTGATGAGGGATTGCAGCACACGTGACAACGAAGGTGAAACACATCATAAACAACACTTTACCAGTTGAGGGAAATAACACAAAGGGCATTAGAGTAATCTCCCAATAAGTGTTTGTTATAATCGTCCCTGTCTTTACCTTCTGTATATAAGCCAATGTGTAAAGCTATGGACTATCATCTTGAATAATATCTTCAGTCTGTTTTTATCTCTCACCATTCATGTAACCGCTCTGCGTCATGGTATTAGAGCTACGCTCTTACGCCGTGTTAGTTCCGGTAGTGACTACAGAGAGTCTAGGGGGGGGGGGGGGGGGGGGGAGGGGGGGGAGAATAGACTCTTCTCAAATTTTCAAGCCCAACACGAAACGATAATGCACAGCGGAAAATGTATGTATTCTTCTTAATGTTTCTTTGCACACTATCGTTATAAAAGATTAGGGTTTGATGATCGTGGATGATATGCAAGCAGATAAATGAGTGAAAATAATAAGGGAGAGATAGAGAGATTTTTATAGTGGTTCGGCTGTTAACAAAGCATACTCCACTCTTCTTTCACAACTCGTGAAAGGGTTTGCACTATCACTCCTAGTATAAACTAGCCAAGCTTGCTTCCTTGATCACTATGCCGGACAGCAACTTGTTTAGGTTTTTCAACTCCTTCGAGTTTACTCCGCCTCTATCAACTTCTTCTTCAGAGTTGAGGGTTGGAAAAAGATTATGGATTTCTAACTTGAAATCTTGGCTTGATGTAGCTTGATCTTCGAATAAAAGCTGCAAGATTTCCTTATAAGTGTTATGAAGACTTAGATCGCTAGATGAACTTCTTAGAAAAAGTCTTCACAACTACTTGCTGGTTAGCAAAGCTTGTATGATGAACAGTTTGAAAGCTTTTTAGATAGCAAAGAGTGATAAAAATCAGCACCTTCTTCAAGTGATGAAGAAGGTTATTTATAGGTGGGGAAAATCCATCCGTTGGAGGGAGATGGAAATTCAAACCTATCAACAAGAGGGTAATGACCTCTTCTTGGTAAGGAGTCTAAAATGCGGCTGTACTGTATAGCCGTTAAAAAAGTAACCAACCATTTTGTCATTTTGTGCAGACAAAAGGTACCAATCATTAAATACTCCTTGATATTTGAAATTTCATTCCTAGGACACTATTTGTCTAGGATGATTTACCCAGTACTGAGACTTAGACAAATATACTTCTGATAGCATGTGAATCTTGTCTAATCAAGTCAAGCTTTGACTTGTAGGCTCGGGTCATAACGGAAGATTGTCCTTATCTTTCGTTGAGTTTTTCATACACGAGAGACAGACCCTTCCATGATTTTGGTCTTAGTTGATCTCTCGGTTTTCTCCTGGTCTTTTCCTGATCTTCTCTTGTCCCTAACAAGTCCTAATTGACTAAGATCTGCTCTGATTCGTGTAAGTATCTTGCTAAGCACAAATCATACAAAGAGCAGTAGCAACTTTCGTTTAGCACGAAAGATGCAAGATAACGAGAGTAAAAAGAGGGGTCTACTTTCCTAGTGAGTTTGGTATCATCAAAATCTTTTTTTGAAGGTAGTATCAGGTATCATCAAAATCTAAGTACACTTGTCCCTAACAATTTCCTCATTTTTGGTGATGCCAAATCTTGTACTGTCGCTATAAGGCTAAAATTATCCATAAAAGGATTTTCTTTACAAAACAGCCATATAGTTGAGTTTACAGAAGAGTTCGAAGTAAACAAGATAACAGAAACTCAACACAACCTTCAGAGAGATAGATTTCATTCATGTTTAATTCATTACAAAAGAATTGGGACAACTAGCTATTACA